GCCGAGGCCGCGGTCCGAGAAACAGGCGGAGCCGCGCGAGAATCCCCGGCTGAAGTAGAGCCCTGCCCTTTCTTTGGCTTCATCAGGAAAGACATCCTGCTGGCCATCTTTTTTCTCTCTTTTAACGGGTGCGGGTTGGCGTGAGCGGGTTTGTTGGCTTCTTTCACAGAACGGAGTCCGCACTCTCGGTGAAGAGGATAATAAACTGTCAAACGATCACAGAGTCAGGCGCCGAACTCAATGGGCCAAGCAATAACCCGGTATGAGGTAGAAATTACCTGGGATGGAGTAGCCTGTCTTGAAGTCGGAGCAAAGGCCGTAGGTTATCAAGCTCTCTTCCGAGACCAAGTCGTGATAGAAACGCTCATCCTCGTCAAGTGCCAACAAAGTGCCGATCTTCTCCGCTAGGTCGTCGCTGGCGTCGAAGTGAGGATTGTGGACTGAAATGGAAATACCGACCTGTTAGCACAGGAGAAAAGCACGTAGAAAGTGGTAAGGAATAACATGATACTCACACTTGCCGGATATGAAACCGGTGTATGGATGCCGGGCTGCATCCGGCACCTGCCACGCGCCGGAGACCCAGAACCACTCCGGCATGTAGCCGTGCAGCGATTTCGGGATTTTGTTCACCAGGGACCTGTCCACTCCGGGAGCGACGGAGCTGTAGTAATTGCCGGTGTTGCCGGACTTCTTGAAAATCAGAAGAGCCCGAATGTCCGCGCTCGTAGGTCGGCCCAGCCCTGCTTATGGAACAAGACGATCAGACCCATCAACCGCGCGAAGGCCGTGGGTACGAGCTGGCTGATTCCGATGCCGAGGTCGCTCAAAACATCACTCAAGACGCCGGGCAAAGGAAATTGGAGTCCGAGACGGATACTGTGGCGGTAGACTCCGATACAGCCCGGCGGAGGACAATGGATGCGCTCGCCGGCGTACGGGGCGAAGATCTGAATGTCGGGGCCGAAACTCACCTTGCCCCGCAACTTGACCAGGTCGACGTCCCCCAAAATAGACGGCGTGTTCCAGGCCGACATCTTCGTGACAGTTGGCCACGAGCGAGGAGGGCGACGCCAGCTCCCGGGTGGGGCCGAGGTCGCGGCCTCAATGGCGGCGTCGGTCTCAGCATCACCTAGTCCCATGGGGACTCGTTCCCGCCCGTCGGTCTCGCCCTGAAGGGTCTCCTCGACCAGGCCGGGGTCAACGTCCGGATCGCTGTCAGAAGGCCCGCCGTCCGGGATAACTTTATCTCTGCCGTCGGACTGGCTAGAGCCGAGGTCAACAACATCAACCACCGGGATCTGCGGGGACATCTCCCCTAGTGGGTCAGTCGTCGCCGCCGACGGCCGGGTCACACAAACGGCCGTAATCGGCGTAACCCGGAGAGGTTGCGCCGCCTCCGCCGCCGGCGGAGAGTAAACCATGATCTCGCCGGTCTCCTCCGTTGTTTGTTTCTCGCCCTCACCGGAAGACGCCGTGAAATTCGAAAGACTCGACATATTGAAAAAAGAAAAGGATGAAAGGAGCAAGTGGATTACCAGTTGGAAGCCTTGAAACGCCGATTTGCAAAGAACTTCAAGGATGTTCGAAAGCTGTCTTGCTGATTGCTCGAGGGTACGTCTGAGAAATTGCAGAAGGTAAAAATTCTGAAGGAACACGACGATGGATATATATAATGTTCGGTCCAATCAAGGAAGGCCACGTGGCACCATTTGAAATTCAAAAATTAAATAATCAACTGCCCAAATTGAACGGTCACGATTGGAGCCATCCGACGATTCACGAACGGGCGCGTAGATGCCACGCGGTAGAGTAACCGCCCTTTCCACTGAAGCGATGTGACGCGCCACGCGGGCCAATCAGACGGGGACACGTGTAAAGGACTCTGAAACGGCACGACTTTTCATGGCCGACAAGAATGGCAACGGCCATATCGCATTGATGGACGCGTCGCTTTAGCTCGCGTCATCAATGTACTAGGAACAGGGAAAATGTGACTCAAGGGGATCAGAGTAGCCGGGGTGAAATTCGGCAAACTCGGGACTGGGCATCAGAGTAGCGACCTCGGACAAGATGTTGGAAAAACCTCCTCTCCGAGCCCGGGGGCCTGTATGTTGATAGCCGAGTTAGCCCAGATTAGACCGGATACTTGACCTCTCAGGACCCGAGCAGAAAAACCGGTCTGGTAAAGAGGTGCCGAGCTGAACCGAGGATTAAAGATGTGTAGGACTGCCGTAGGAACGTTCCCCCAGTACGGCACCTGGCTCAGTCAGGACAAAAGCTGACCTGGATAGGTGCCGGACAGAAAGAAGACTATTCACAATCTCGCGAACACTTTCAAGTGAGATGCCGGCCTGAAGATCTGAGAAGGCCGACCAGAGGGAAAGTGCAGGCTTCGATACACATTAAAATATTCCCACTTGGAAGGCCATCATTGGACGATGGGACAAGTAATCATAGCCTAACACCCTACCAGCAAGCCTAATCAATAAAGCCTACCAGCATTAAATGCCCCCCATGCTGGCATTTAATGCCTGACAGGTAATGATTGAAGAAACCTCAAATCGCATTAAATACATGTCAGAGGGACGCCGGACTGCTCTTCAAGGCCACTGTGCGACAAGACCGTTGAACAGTAGCTGAACAGTGCCACATTAGAGACTACTATAAATAGTAGCTCATTTCATTTATTTTGGGTTGTTGAAATTCAACTAACTCTGCCTTCTCTCTACTTTCTCTCTCTAAAACTGTAAGAAACTCATTGTAAGAATTGTAAGTATATCGCAAGTGCCGACCTCGTACGAGAGGCCGACCTCGTGATCGCCTAATAAAACCATAATTAGACCTAGTCTTCCTTTCATTTGTCAGTCTTTCATTTTCGACATTTATCATCTTAACCGTTGACCGAAAACGCTCGTCAACATGGATGAACCACATTATTCTCCATATTATAGATATTAATTATATCCACTCATCACTACATTTGTAATAACATTGTGCATTGGAGGATTAAAAATATATAAATTGCTAAATACGTTTGATGTAGAGTGTAATTTACTAAAACTACATTTAAGCATTGGAGATGCTATAAGATTTTAGATTATTTAGAATTTTTAGATTTGGAAAAAATTCTATGAAATCTTAACTATGGAGGTAGGATTTGAAGTGGATTTTAAGGTTTTTTGTTTCGAAATCCCACAAAATCTTAAAAAGTCTTAATAAATCCTAGTGTCAAATAAATTAAATACCTTATGATTTTAAAAGACTTTTGAAAATCCCAATTGAATACCCCAAGATTTGTGAAAATTTTAAAAAATCTTAACATATCTAAATTGAATACCTCGAGATTTCTAAAGTTTTAAGAAGTCTTTAAAAATCATAATTGAATACACCCCTAATAATGCTGACATTGTAATGATAAAAAAAAAAATTGATATATTACTCTCTTCTATATAAATAGGTAGGAAAATTCTAAAACAAAAGAATTAATAATAATTGATGTCTTTGTGAAATGTATATTTTATTCATTTTTTTAAAAATATATTTAGGAACCTATGACGTAATAATAAATTTATAAAAATATAACATGAAGCATATCAAAAAATTCTTGTGATAAAAAGATTAAAGAGTGAAATTTTCCGGGGAAAAAAAAAGGAAAAAAAAAAACCCATCTTTTTCTCTCTCTTTTCCAAGTCGATGATTACTGTCATCAACTCAAGCTGGCAGGTGACTTTTCCTAATAAACAGTGCAGAAAATAAATTCGAAGCAATGAAGATTTAAAAATTGATGTGATGATGGGTGTCGTTGAAGTCGTGAAATCTGTGAAGTGGGAACAAGAATCGTACCCGCAGTATGAAGATTTAATTGTGTTGCTGCCCCTTTTCGCCCTCTTTTTCCCCGCAGTTCGATTTTTTCTCGACAGATTTGTTTTTGAGGTGATTTTTCTGGGTTTTTTTTTTTATTTTTTTTTTCCATGTTGTTTGAGTAAAATTCAAATTCAAGGTTTGTACTCTTCAAAGATGTTGAGCAGGAATTACTTCATCATCAATTATTTATTTATTTATTTATTTAGTGATAGTTTCCAGAAAGACAGAGACAAACTATTTTCAGTATCATGGCATAAGTTTTTGCAGGACTTGGCGTCGAATTTTGTATGCTAACGTAGAGTTTTCAACGTTGTAATCTTTATTGTTGGTAAAAAAATATGAAATCTTGGTGGTAAGATGCTTCACCTATAACCGATAACTCATGAGTTCGAGTCGCCGACTATGGGAATACTATTGATCCCTTTTTTTAAAAAGAGGAAATATGAAATCTTGGGAACTTGAAGAAATGAGACATGGCAGAGTAGGAAGCTATGAATTTTGAATTTGGTAAAAGATCGACGATTTATGTTCTTTATCTATTTTAAGCAACGGTAATCTGTTAGAAGTACTACAAAATAAAATGACAATAAAATGAAAGCCTAAGCTCGATTCATGTGGCTTGAGGTATATTGTCAGTTTGTTCTTCATTTGGTTTCGCATGAGTCATGAACCTGTAATGATGTCCTGGTTTTTCAGTTGTTAATAATTTAGTTAAGTCTCATTTGTATATAAGGATATACTGCATAAAGTTGGGGTTTACATACTGATCTTTACTGACCCAAATGGTCGTAAATCGTAATTGCATTTTGCATGATTGGAAAAGTTACAGACCTTTACTTCATTTATATTGGATTTATGTCTTGCAGAAGGTCGGCAGACAACTAATATTTGGAAGGGGAACACAAGCTGTGGGAACTGAGTCTGAGGACCAAAGAAAGAAGATAAGAAAGTTCAAAGAATCTGCGTGGAAATGCGTGTATTTTCTCTCGGCTGAGATTTTCGCACTCTCTGTGACCTACAACGAGCCTTGGTTGACAAAGACCAAATTCTTTTGGATAGGGCCTGGGGACCAAGCGTGGCCCGACCAAAAATATAAGTAAGATCTAAAGAATATATATATAGTTTTCGTCTAATGGGTTGATGTCTCTTTATTTTTCATTTTTTTTTT